ACTTTAATCCAAACCATGAGGAGGTTATGTATAGTTTTTGAAACCATAGGAGGGTTATTTAAAAAAAAGGCTAAACTATAGGGGGTAAAGTAAAATTTGCCCTTAGTTAATTGATTAATAAGCTTGGTGATTCCCCTTTATAATCAAAATGTTAAAATCTATATTCACCCAAAGACTAGATTTTGCTAATTCTCATTATTCTCTATCATCAATTTGTCTAAACAGATTGTCGAGTACTTATTTTTAATCTTACAAGGAGCTAAAATATTACAGTAACATGTTCTATAATTGAGTTACATTTGCAGATCATGCCAAAAGTGCAAATCATACAATTTATATTCATGATTTGGGCCTAAATGTACAAGATATTATGCATATTATGCTTTTGAACTCAACTGGTAAACAAATTATTTATTGAGCACAGAATATAAAATTCTAATCTAAGTTTTGTAGTTGAGATCCCAAATGGAAACAATCACAAGTCATACAAATAATAAGCAATCTGAAGAACGATCTCAAACTTTCTTTTGAAGAATTTGCCAATAAGGAACTCCTAGTGAATTTTGTGACACGAACTATGAGTGATTTTTACTTCTATTTGTTTGTGATTACTTGTCTCTAATTTGTAAAGGAAATCGATACAAGATGGAAGATGAATTAGGAACCCGATTTAGTTAATGCTTTGTTTAACAAAGAAAGATTCCACTAAGCCCTTAGAGCCAAGTTTGGGAGTTCTAGAGTAAAAGAAAAAAAATGAAGTGAATAGATTCTAGGGAAAATTTCACTTTACCCTCCTGTGGTTTAGCGTTTTTAATATAACCCCCGTATGGTTTCAAAAACTATATATAACCCCCTCATAATTTGGATTAAAGTGTCAAAGTGACGGGAATGATCATTCGTAACGGAGTCACCTAAAATGTCAAAAATACCCTTATGTAAAGTTGAAAATTATTTATTAACCAAGGGGGATTATGTGTACATTTTGAAAACCATAAGGGGGTTATATGGTAAAATATTAAACCATAAGGGAGTTATATAGTAAAATATAAAAATTATACGGGATTAGTGTGTCATGTATTTATAAGAGTAATTACGACATTTTTAGAAGTTTCGTTACGAATGACTATTTCTGTCACTGTGACACTTTAATCCAAATCATGAGGGGGTTATGTATAGCTTTTGAAATCATAGGGGGGTTATGTAAAAAAATGCTAAACCACAGGGGGGTAAAATATAATTTGCCATAGATTCTAAGTTTAAGAAAAATAGAATGAGTTTTTGATTTTGGGAGGAAAAGGTTACTTAAATTAAAATTAAATAGTATCAGTTATAAGCGTACACGTTAAAGAATGACATTTTGTTCATTGGTATGCTAAGACTTTGCTTAGCGGTCAATTATGCTTAGTGAATATCGGAGTTGAAAGCATTCAAATATTTTTTTTTTATCAAAAAATAAATGTTGATTGGGTAAGTATGAAGTTTAATGGAAGCACTATCTCAATATGCTAAAGATGAAGGATTCTAATTAGCCCAAAAAAAAAAAAAGGAGAAGGATTCCTTCATCTGGTGGAGCAGTCCGCCCGAGTTTATACTGCCAATTCCATTGCCAGATATAACATGTACTCTATACAAGAATTACATACAGGTCGAACAAGTTCACAAAGCTAATAAAAGCCAGATCGTTATCTGATGAGCCAAAAATTGTTTATCAATCTATAAACTGTTTTTGGTCTCCAGATTTCCAGGTCCCAACAAATTGAGCCACACTATGACCAATTCAAGGGCTGGCTGCTTTAAGAAGACAGAGGGGCTCAATTTACAGATTGAAAATGCTTACATTAGATATGAAAGACCCCCAATAACCTGTGAATGCTTAGAGCAAATTTTCTCTACAAATTCTCATTTAACTACAACCATCGATATTAGCACAGTAAATTTTAGGAAGTGAAGTACTTGCCCTAAAACACTAGGTGGCCAACAGTTCTGCTCAGACATCCTTACAGAATAAGCATCTGCTTCCGATGCTTTTGATTATGATTAGACAAAATACCCTTCGACTTCGATTGGACTTACGTCTAAAGGGCTAGAATCCTTAAATTATGCACTTTTCATTGTTAGGGGCTAATCGAAGATAAAAAATGGGTTAGGGGAAGTTATGGTACCATTTGTTTTCCTTCCTTTTTTGGTTGCATTAGGACTCACTTTTGGAAACAATTGAACTTACTGCCGAATGCCAATCCTGCCATACTTTGGCAGATCAAGAACACTGCCGTGCACTATTATGTGTGTAAATCAGTGTATGTTTAAAATGAAAAAAAAATGACAACTATTATTTGTATTTTCACTTTAAGTTAGTTATTGCTTAAGATCTTGAATCATGTTTGGTGTAAAGTAAGTTGCTTAATTCTAGTACAAGACAAGTATGACAGTATCCAGGCATGTCTAGGAAAATAACTCCTTAGTCAAGTTCAACAAATATTTGCACTCTAGGATGTTTCCTCCCTTGCTTTTTTTTTTTTTTTTTTTTTTGGGACCATTTTGGTTCGTGACAACACATGGCATACAATCTTTCACACTGAATAGTAAATCTCCCAAAATATTGGGTTCGTGCCAAACCTTATTGCAGAATTATGGCTTTATGGAGACGACTTCTAATGGCTTGGGACTTACAGTCAAAATAAAGTAGAATTTATCTAAGGCCATCTGTTTGGTTTTCCAAAAAACTGTCCAAGCGCATTCAAACCTTATTTGGCAAATTCAAGAGCTATTGAATTACAGATGGCAGTGCACACGCTAGATCACTTTTGAAGGAAAGAAAATCAGTGTGCAGATGTTTTGGTGAGAATGAGTTTGAGTTTGCAACCAGGCCCAACGGTCCTTCCTCGTCCACTGCCCCTGTTAAGAACTCCTTGTCAAGGGACATTGTGGGAGCCTCTTATAGTAGATTAATTGTGTTTTGATAGGCTTTGATCCTCCATTTGCTTTAAATTTATTCACTTCCCGTATGTAGCAATTAAAAGATCTAGTTTTGAGTAGATAAATTACATGAACAGATGACAGGTGCCGAACCTGTACAATAATAATTACCTACTCAAGAAAAATACAGATTTTGTATATAGTGGTGAGTAGGGTCGAATTCACAGGGATTGGGGAGAAATTTGCTCCCTTTAGAGTAAGTTTTAGTATTAAATGCTAATGAACTAAATAACTCAAATGCAAAAAAGAATTTAATTAACAGAAATAATTGGGAGAGCTCTAGCCAAGGGTGCACTTCAGAAATGGTTCATGCACTGATCATCGATTCACAGATAATTCCAACATCTATCAATAGATTAATTATAGTTGTCATGCACGCGATAAACAACCAACCTTTCTTTAATTTCTCGATAGTTAAGGTACGACCGTTAACTATTTCTCTAACCCGGAAACAACCCTAGATACGATCGTAGGATTTAATTTTTAGATTGCATTAATAATTAGAAAGACCCAATCCTAACTAACAAACACGCTACGAGGGTTTGTTTAAGCTAGATCGTATGCTCCCCTGACATAAACCCAATTACGCCAGTTGCTACTAAGATAGAGATAACGAACAATTACGGATTCAATTACCTCTATTTAGCAAAATAGCCTATATGAATAATTAATTATTGCGCACTAATCAATCATACATAAGGACTATAACAATTAAAAACAGGAAACACATAAATACCAATAAATGAGGAAACGATTAAAATAATTTCGATCTCACAGTAAATGCTGAACCAAGTCTTCAGTTGTTCTCTTGACTAGAATTAGGAGGTTAGTCCTCCATTAATGGAGAACAACCATGCGAAAGAGCTACCTGAAGTTTACAAGATTGTTCCTGGCCAAATCGGCCATGGAAGAAAAGTCAAAGACGAAAATCAAAATCAAAGCAATTGTCCTCCCCAAGGTCGGCTAAAAAGAAAAAATACAAAGACCTAAGTCCCAGCCGAATTGTTTCTCCCGAATTTGTTGCCGCCTTCAACTCTTAATCACGCGGGATCCGGCCTTCTCCTTTTCCCAAAGAGTCACGGCTCTTTTTCTTGTTTTCTTGGCTGAAGTCCTAATCAAACGGGAATTTGGCTTCCCTTATTATTTTTTGTTTCCTAATTGAAGTCTACTAGCAAATAAAACTAATCTCCTAAATAGGAAAAGAAACCATAATAGAAAATATTCCAAGTTTTCTAATCCAATATTAAAACTAATAATGAAGATTAAAATCTTCAAAATCTTCCTTCAAAAATTGCTTTGAATTCGACTCGGACTTGGAAACCAACCCCAAACGTGCCACCATCCAATGAATTGGAAAATTGCCACTTTTAATCACGTTTTGCTCCTTTTCCTACAATTGGCACCATTAATCAAATATAAGTAGAATCCGACAATTAAAACAATATTTGGCTAAAATCAAGGGGAAAAATAATTATAAATGTAGTAACAAATTATAACCTATCAACAGATCCGGAAGACTATAGCTATATGTCAAGGAAAAGTAAAGTAGAAAGCAGACTTCAATGGATTTTCTATTACCTAAGGCTATAACCAAATAATCAAGGGTCTCCTAGATTTCAACAGTTTTGCATACCCTATTACCAAATACTCAAGGGTCTCCTAGATGTTTTAAATAGCATCTGTCAAAGATTACAGGTGAAGTTAGTCGTCGCAGAATGAATTTGCTGTTTTTAATTGATGGCTCACATAAATTTAGACCAAGCGTTCTCCCAAAAATTTCATGACTGCAAGCTGTCTATTAACATCCCATTTCAATAAAAAGCGAGAATGAAACCAATCTAGCAGACAGCAAAAACTGGATTTCCTTGAACCAAAGATTTCTACACAGTAAGCACATAGGAAGATGCAGTACACATGATACTGTACAAGACCAGGTTTCGGTTTTTTGTAGTAAATCATTTCAGCATACGAAACACAAAAATAAATTATAACCTGGCAATATTTACTTCTCTGACAAAGAGAATCTATCCCTTCCTTAACGTTTCTTGGAGATCATCACAGATATCGCCAAAATTCTTCTTGGCTTCGTCTAATACGATTTCACAATCTTCAGAGCCTCTCTTGAATGACAATATTCTTCTACAAACTGAAGGCATCAGAAAATGACCAACAGTCATCTTCTTTAGAGCTTTCCCATTTTTCAAAAGATACTCAATCAGCTTCAATTGACATTCTTCTTCCTCCTTGTAAAGAAACTTAAATTCAATTTCCTTCAGAAGTTTGATGAAGCATATGGGGAGAGCCTCTGAAAACAAGCACTCCAATTCTTCGTTCTCAATGACATTGCCCAAACACACCTGTCCATTCGAGAAGATTAAACTGCAAAGCCTAATGAAACGGTTTTTGGGATAAAACACAGCATCATATTTACCTTCCAAAAAGTGAGAGCCTCAAGGCTAGGGGCCTTCCCAAATAAGCTAGCTAACGCTTTCCAAGAAAGGATATGGTCAGTTTCATCAGGATTGCAGCTGCATACAAGCGTCAGGCTCGTCAAATTCTTGAAAATCGGCAGGAAATCTTGGGAATCATAGAGAGCCTTCATGGAAATGAACCAGAGCAATAAGGATTTATCATCTGAATATATGACATCCTGAAATTATAGAGAACAGCTAAATAAATTATTAGAAGACAACGTACCTCCAGAATGTCCTGTCTTAAGGAAAGTGATTTCACTGTTTTCACCCTTATAAGATGATCAATAGCATCACGACTGTTTAGTTGATCCTTGCACAATCCAGCTCCTATACTAGCTTCAACAAGAGAGTTTAGGTTTTGAATGAAATTAACTCCAATTGCAGGTGCAGAGTAGGAAAAATGTGTAAGGTTTGGGACATTGAAGATGACCTGATGCTCGCCATCATGTCTAGGAGCATCATATGCCAAATGTTCCAGAACACCTGAATCCACAAGAACAGTACACTCACCTCCCCACAGTTCAATTCTCAATCTTTTGATCGAAGGACCACTGAAATCAACTACATCAGCTTCAGCATCATTAGTCTCCTCATCCTCCACAGATTGTAAGTCTAATGCTACATCCAGTTCTTCAAGCAGAGGGCAACCTTGAATAAGCCTTCGAACAGAATCAACAACTTGTCCCTTTAACGACATGTGAAGCACCTTAAGATTTGGTAAAACCACTAAACTGGGGACTTCTGAATCCACCAGTAGTCGCAGAGAAACTAAGGTTTTGCACGTTAAAATTCCGGGACAATTTATTGCATAATGTCGAATTGAGACAAATATTTCAAGTTCTTGAACGTTAAACAAAAGTGCAGCAGATATCCACGAGTCAATTAGCGATCGGAACTTTTTATCAACCATTTCATAAATCCAGAAAACGGAGAGTGTAAGTTTTGTAATGGGAACCCATCTCGGAATTGAAGTATTCGCCAGGCAAGATATAAGAACTTAATGAGCCTTTGACTATCAATAAACTCAAGGACAGATTTTCTGACTTTAGGCCTATAAGTTGACTTGAATTGGAGATCAATATCAGCAAGTGAAGCAAAAAGGAATTTCCACCTGGTGGATAGAACTGAGGTGGCTGCAGATTCTTTCAGTGGGAGAAACGATAAAATGTGGCAAATTAGAGGGTCTGGAAGGGCACTGATCCTATCAACACTACCAACATCTGAGCCTGGGGTGCTTTTCATCATCATTAACTATGCTGTTATTTCTCTTGATTACTGAAAAAGATCAAATGGGGTTTTAGTCAATTTTCCCAAAACAGAGCTTATAAAGGGAAAAGGGATCTTTTGCCAACATAAATATCAGATGAATTTCTGAGTCTGTAGACAAGGGCATGCAACAGAAGAGAAAAGTAAAGGAAAAGCTGGAACAAGAAACACCTGAGATTTATGAAACCCTTGATTGCTTCGAGTTGCAGAGAAGCCAAAGTGTTCAGAAACTAGCCGCTGAAGCAGAAGCAGCAGCTCAAGAATTTCCAAGCACCATATGTATGCTTTAGGTCAAAGATTGGCATTTGAAGTTTAATAGTATTTGATTAATTACTTTTTCATGTACAGCCGGTACAGATGTGATGTAAATCTAGTGGTTTGTTATGAAATAAAATGAATAAAAGGTGTTATAATTGGGGACATACAAAGTTGAGAAGCCGAGAGCAAGGGGCAAATCGGGGAACGAGATGCGAACCCGAATTTGAGTAACTCGATTAAACACTCAAACCAAGTTTGAATCCAAACATATCTCCAAAGTCAATTCCAAGCAGTAATAATATATATTTAAATTTGTTTTAATACTTATGAAGGTGACATGCCTACTTTAACCATCACGTCATGGGGAAAAGTAGTTTAGTAAACCGATATCAATGGATTGATTTGTGGGTCCCCTTAAATTGTACTTTGGACCGTTTTTTGATGACTTTCTGAGTGTTACTCTAATTATGTGTGTGTTTTTATCTACTTGTGGGAAAAAAAATCACTTATGTCGCGAGATTGTGCTCGGGAGGGGGATAGGGGCTTCCCGATCATGGGATAGTTACTCTGGATTTAAGGTACACAAATGATCCGTTTTGTTACCAATTGGTTGATTTGGATTGCTTTGTAGGTCCCCCTTAGATTGTTCTATGGACCGTTATTTGATGATTTCCTGAGTGTTACTCTAACTGTGTGTGTGTTTCTATCTACTTGTGAGAAAAGAAAACCGATATCAATGGATTTTCTAGCGCCTATAGTTCTAGCCAAATGATTTCAGCTATTTCGCATACCGTGCAATCAAACACTCGAGAGTGTCCTGCTGGACTACTAGATGTTTTTAATAGCCCATCGCAAAAGACTACAGGTGAATTTAATTGTTGCAGAATGATTTTTGATCTTTATAATTTATGGCTTCACATAAATTTAGACCCAGTTTCCTTCAAAAATTTCACGGCTATCCACTTTGCATAAAAAGCAAGAACAAGTGCAATCTGACAAACAGCAAAAAAAATGGTTTTCCATAAGGCTTAAAAACAAAAAAAACTCTGTGTAATATAGCTAATACACAGAAAAATTCTCCATGATTTCAAAACATAAAAAACAGCACTTCATATTTTAAACTAAATTATAAACTAACAGAATTCGTTAAATTTAACGGAATTCGATAAATTTAACGGAAACTTAACGGAATCTAGTAAATTTAATGAAATCCGATAAGTTTAATAGTCAAGATTGTTATTTTCGTTAACTTTAATGAATTCTATTAATTTACAATTTAGTTCAAAATATGAGATATTATTTTGTATATTTTAAAATTACGAAAAATTTTTTGTGTATTAAATATATCACCCGAGACATTTTTATTTTTTACCCTTTTCCATAACCTTAGATTGCTTCACAGGAAGCACATAGGATGATGTTCTACTCCTGATATTAGACAAGACCATACTTGGCTTTGTTGTAGGGAATCATTTCTGCATACAGAAGATGAAAAACAAGTTAATAACCCATGAATATCGACTTCTATGACAACGAGAATCTATCCTTTCTATACGTTAAAGATCTTCGCTGACATCGCCATAAAGATCTTCGTCTAAGGGCATCTGCATCGGAGACCTCTCATGACACGGGTCCGGCCAACCGTTGTGGCCGTGTAATGGTGGGCAGACAAATTTTTTTATGTTGCAACGGATTAATTTTCATCAGTATTCACTTTGTTATTTTTTGTATTTTATTTTATTTAAATTATATAATATTATGTTATGGAGTTCAATTAATTACACAAAGAATTATTAATTAAGTATGAATTATTATGATATCTTTGCATTTGAGGTATCACATATTTGTTTAATAATTGCATAATTATTTTTCAAAAAATAATAATATAATATTTTTGAGAGATAGAAAAAGATATATTGTTTAGAAATTAATAATATTATTTTTAGAAAATAAAAAATTCAAAAGGTAAAAAATTTAATGAAAGTCAATAAATTATTTTTTAAAAATAACAAAATTATTTTTTAAAAAAATTACTTTATTTATTTATAGGATATGAGTTATGTATTATTAAAATAAATGTTCGATTTAATTGTGAACCCGCGCTATTACACCTTGTGGAATGTAATCTATTGTGAGTGAGAATATAATAAAAAAGAAAAAAGTGGAATACTAATGTGACATGTGAATTACACTCTAAAGAGTGTAAATCATTGTAGATGCTCTAATATAATTTGGTAATCTTCGAAGCCCTCTTGAATGACAATTTCTTCTACAAATTGAAGGCATTAGAAAATGATCAACAATCATCTTCTTCAAACCTTTTCCATTTTGTAAAAGCTACCCAGTTAGCTTCAGCTGCAAAATTATCTGTTAACCCGAAAACCAGTCATATTCGATCCGATTCGATCCGAAAATTAGGATATTCGATTTTTATTATTTGATCGGGTCAAAAGAGAGTCGGGTACCAGCTAAGATGCGGGGCGGGTTAGGGTCACATAATTAAAAACCCGCGGGTACCCGATCCGCCTCTCATATATATATTTTTTATTTTTATTTTTATACGCACACTATAAAATAATAATTTAAAACTAAATAAATAATTTTATTGAATAAATTGCATTACAAATATGAGAGACTATAGTTTATTTATAAAATTCATTTGTAGAGGTCATGATCTTATATTTTATAGAAAAAAGTTTAATTAATGTGGAACATATATATTAAAAATTGTGTTACTTATTTCAAACTTTTATTGATTTTGAATTCTTTTAATTTTTAACCTTTATCTTATATTCTCTTCACATGCTTGTTTGTTAGTGGGAAACCTTTTTTGAGAAAAAAAAATTATTAAATCTTAGATGAATGTGTAAAATATAAAATTAAATTAGTATAAATAATTTTTTTAAAAAAATTAAATGATAAATGGGATGGGGCGGGTACCCGCTGACCCGACCCTATCTCAGTGGGTACCCTATAATCGGGTACCCGCTGATATGCAGGGCGGGTAAGGATCAGAAAAATGGCTGACCCGCAAGGTGCGAGTCGGGTCAGCCAAATGGTGAATGGAACGGGTACCCGACCCGTGCTCACCCCTAACAACAGGGGAAAAAAAGAAACTGGGGCAAATGGGATTTTTGGGAGGAGGTTTATGAAACCACCCTGAACCCATTTCGTGCGTCCTGTGTGCGTGACAAGTACATAGTATGCATATTCCTAATATGTCTACGAATACAAATTTTGGTTGCAAGACATGGCTATCTTCCAAGCATCACTGTCAACGTTTCAAAAAATCCTTGAGTAGAAAAACCTTGAGTAGATATGGTAACACACTTGCATCTCCAATTTGAGTAGAAAAATCCTACAAAAAGATCCACTAGACTATAGTAATATGACAGTGGAAAAATAAAATAGAAAACGCCTATGGATTTTTCCCATAACCTATTAACATAATACTAAAGGCTACATGCTACATTTGTCACTGCAAGAATTGATTTTCCTCTTTACGTACGGTCGAGGCTCGTGCAAATCAACACTTAGCTTTCTTCCCCAAATTTCATAAGAGCAAGCTATCTATGAGAATCAAATAGTTGTGCTGAACGGTAACACAAAAATTCTAGCATACTGCAAAACTATTGGTTTTAATTATCGTAGATTCCTCCACTTAAAAGCATATAGGCAGATGTAGTAAGCATTATTAAATTAAGAACCAAATCATGATTGTAGCAGATGATCTCAGCACACAAAAAATGAAAGAAACTAATGATATATGTGTGAGGACTCGCAAATTTTTCGATTTTAAACACCTATTACTAGCTCATTTAATTATTTATTTGACTAATTGCCTCGAATATTATTTTCTAACCTTTTTAAACCTAATTACATGGATCTATGACTTAATTATATTTTTAAAGTGACTTGTTTCAAAATTTAATTTTTAAAGGCTCGTTAAGTAAAAATAGTGAATGCACGTTTGGAAGCAATAACCAATTGAGCGTACTATTAGCTTGAAAAATTGGAGACTTGTACATTAATCTTGAAATAAGTATTTTCATGTTTAAGTGCTCACATATTAGTTAGTTACACTATCGTTATAAGAATTTCTTAGAAATCTCACCCTATCGCGTATAAATCAAAAGTACGTGTTTTTATGCGTGCGATTAATTGAGTGACTTTAGACCTTTATTTTTAGACCATTAAGAGTGAATAATAATTATATGAATGTAAGTGCATTAGAGGTTTAGTGCATTAGTGCAACAAACTCGAGAGAAATCGAGCACAAAACGCGCGCGTGCGCGCACTATTCCTAGTTGACTTTGAAGCAAATTTTGGCCACAACTTATAAAGCTTCTCATGGAAACTTACCTTCAGCATTAGCTCTTCTTTTCC